AAACAGCTTAGGGTTAAAGGTGAACAGATGCTGCGTGCTGCACGAGGCCAAACAGCTTAGGGTTAAAGATGAACACATGCCGCATGCTGCACGAGGCCAAACAGCTTAGGGTTAAAGGTGAACAGATGCTGCGTGCTGCACGAGGCCAAACAGCTTAGGGTTAAAGATGAACACATGCCGCATGCTGCACGAGGCCAAACAGCTTAGGGTTAAAGGTGAACACATGCTGCGTGCTGCACGAGGCCAAACAGCTTAGGGTTAAAGATGAACACATGCCGCGTGCTGCACGAGGCCAAACAGCTTAGGGTTAAAGATGAACACATGCCGCGTGCTGCAGTTGAGCAGTTGATGCGTAACTCAAAGGTTAATCTAGACAAGACCGTGGCATGCACTATCACATCAACGTAAGTCCTGATTAACGCTTACTCCTTCAAATGAAATGTTTGTGACAGGATTGGCTTCATCACGATCATCACCAGGAGACAGCACAAAATCAGACATGGATGTGACCATCAGACTATAGAGCTGGGTTCATCATTCGTCTACAATCACCCTAAGACAGAATCAGCCCCTGCCCACAGCCTTCATTTAACCAAAGCTGGCTTCATCATTCACCTAATTTCATCCTGAAACATTATCAGCCTCTGCCCACAACCTTCAGATGACCAAAGCTGGCTTCATCATTCATCTACAATCACCCTGAGACAGTATCAGCCCCTGCCCACAGCCTTCAGGTGATCAGAGCTGGCTTCATCTCGAGTCGGCAGAAGAGCACACACAGACTTTTATATCAAATTATCATTTCATTGCATATATTCATCACAATATCACAGGTATACAAATATTTTGCAGTAAATTATTATTGAGCACACTGACTTGACAAGAAAACCTGAACACAGTGTGGCTGTCATCAAGTTTATTGGTTAATATAGGAAACAAGTTAGTTCATATAGAGATATAACAAGGCTACAGGAATGTTCAGAATTTAAATAAACTAAAACTATTTTAGTAGTCTAGATCAGTGAGTCTCAACCTGGAGTTGACCAAGAGTCCTACCAATTGATGTAAACTGGACAATTTTCAGAACCATTGCTAGATATTGATAAATATAAACCTGCAACTAATCCATAGGCCCCAATGTACTTGGTCGAGCCATCCTTATCTTCACAGATTTTAAGTGTCCTCATTCGCTAAACAATTTCTTTTTTACAGCCCAGGCATAACATCTGCAAATAGAATGCTTTTAAAAAAAAGTTTAAAAATGATAACATTTTGGGATCCCAATTAAAGACCAAACCAACACAGCACTTCTACTTGTGATGTTTAAATCAATGTTATTAAAAAATAACAGATAATAAAACATTGCCTCTAAAATTAAGTTTAGGATTTGAAGGGCGGCCATTAAATGAAATATTACGGAAAGATGACACCAAACTAATGAAAAACACAAGAAATACAAAAATCACCGTATGGTAGGTTAAAGTGACACCAAAAGGTGTGGTTCTCATCTGATTGTGCTCAAGATTATAAAGACAAAATTATTTCAAGTGTGTATCAATATGTTGATTCGTCAAAAGTTTCACAGCAAATATAAAAATATCATAGCGAACAGAATTGAGTATACATTGTGTATAGAGAAGACCTAATATAATTGTGGGTGAGAAAAGGGTAATAGGAATTTTAAAATATAAACCTTTATGGTTTTTAAAAAATATGAAATGCACAAAATAGTAAGACGTGCCAACAGTACAAATAAATTATTTGAACAATTCAATATACAGTTGGGCAATTCAAGGCAAATTGGGCAACTCAATCTAAGTAAAGTTTGGCAATTTAACATAAAGTTGGACATTTCAACATGATTTTCAATATATTAAAATAAAGTTGGATTAAGTGGAATGTCATCAAGTTAACATTTAACGTACATAAAAATAATCATGTGTGTATTGTTCAGGCACATTTAATATGTATATCAGTTTCTTAGCATTTAAGTGTAAGATTTAAATTTCAATTGTTTAAAGAAAACCGTGTATTGATATAATTAATAACATTATGACATTGTTTAAATAGCATATTTAAATAGCTGATGTGTTTTTTATTAAGAATTATGACAATCTAAAAAAAAAAGAATTTTTTATAAATTAAAGTTAGTAATTTAAATACATTCATGTATTTAACATTTGTCAGTTATTCAGCACATCACAAGACAAATTAAATCATTAAGATTGAAAGCCCTTTCAATATAGTATTGGGAATTTCTATAAAATGTATTAAATAATTATTCAATTATTTTATACCTAAATGAATTAGACAAATTATCTGAATCATGTCTGATCTAATCAATGATGTCTGATCTGATCAATCAATCACTTCTGATCTGATCAATCACTTCTGATCTGATCAATCAATCATATCTGATCTGATCCATCATTTCTGATCTGATCAATCACTTCTGATCTGATCAATCAATCACTTATGACCTGATCACTCTGAACTTGTGTTGCTGCTGGCCCACATGACTGGCATATGATATGTTTTACTTTACATTTAACTATCTGGTAAAAGTTTTCATTGAACATTTGAACCTTGCGGGCCTTGCAGGCTTTTGAAATATAATCATGAAGGTAAAATAAATTTAAAACAATAATTATGTTGTTAATAGAGCCAATTTCTGACTACGCTAACTTGCTTTGAATATTTTTATGACTTTTGTATAGTGATAAATTATTTGCATAAGTGAAAAACAGATTAACCAAATTTCACTGTACAGTCCGTCATGTCCGTGTAAAGTCAGTGTAAATTCAGTTATGTCAGTGTACAGTCAGTCATGTCAGTGTACAGTCGGTCATGTCAGTGTACAGTCAGCCATGTCAGTGTACATTCAGTCATGTCAGTGCAAAGTCAGTAATGTCAGTGTATAGTGGATGTGATTATGGCAATAGCTGAGTTCAGGTATGTATATACATATATAAAAGTTTAACACACACATGCAATCAACAGATGAAATAAAATGGCTGTTACGACATTGATCAAACACTAAAAATCACTCATTGCTTGATAGCTATTTCTATGAATTGACTTAAATTTCACATAATCTGTATGCTAGAGAGCAATGGTTTTCAACCTATTTCCTCTTACAACACCTTCAACAAAAGCGAAGTTAATATAAAGTATTTTAAAAACCCTGATATTTTGACTTCCTTCATCTCATCTTAATTTTTGTTAATAACTCTAAAAATATCATTAAAAGTGTAATGGAATAGGAGCGGTTAAAATTATTTGAAATAAAAAGAACTAATGCACCGTAAAAATTATTTGATGCATGAATGACATCTGACAGAAGAAATTTACACTAACTTACAAGCTTATTTTAAATTATCAAATAATAACCAAGGTAATTATTATGGATGGATGAGAAACAGCAAATAGTTTTGACAATATGAAGTAACCAATATTTAACAAATTATCATTCAATATCTTTGCTGAAGATCCTTCAAAAGATTGGGCATGATTAGCATGCACATAAAATTGTATTCATTAAATCTACTCTTATAGAAAATCTATGGTGATTCTCAAACTTCAAAATTAATGTGTTTAAATCTTATGAGACTTTTCATGAATGTTAAGTAAAAAAAAAAAAAAAATGTTTGTGAGGAACAGTTTTTTAATTTTCTGGTTTTCAATAAATAATTTGAATTTAACTTGTCAAGTTTCATTTTCTCAATTCATTTTACAAAAATCTACTCTTATAGAAAATCTATGGTGATTCTCAAACTTCAAAATTAATGTGTTTAAATCTTATGAGACTTTTCATGAATGTTAAGTAAAAAAAAAAAAATGTTTGTGAGGAACAGTTTTTTAATTTTCTGGTTTTCAATAAATAATTTGAATTTAACTTGTCAAGTTTCATTTTCTCAATTCATTTTACAGACTAAAATTTTTCTCACATTTTCGTAAAGACAAAGAGAAATAAAAAGTCACAAATTATCTTGCGCCTCTGTTCTAAATGTAGGTGCGTTGACTTTGATTGCATGGTATGTTTCAATGACATGCTACAAATAACTAATACTTGATGTTCTTTAAGGTTTGACTGTGGTTGTTCCTTTGTTGTCAGCATCACTGCTGCCACCTGTGAGGACGCCAGTGTAGTACAAGATGATCATCAAAATAATAAACAGGATCACAAACACGACACACGCCAGGATGAGTGTCATCTTTTTGTTTCTCCACCAGTAACGCTTTTGTATTTTTCTTGCCGTTTTCTGGAAGGACGACGCCTGAGCAAAAAAGTTTTTATTTTTTAATCTTTGAGACAGGTGAATCGCATTCATTGTTAACAAAGTGGTGTTAACTCATGAAAAAATGTACAATTTTGTATAATAGATGTCATATCTTTGTATAACAGATGTGACACCTTGTATACTAGATTTCATAACCTTGTATAATAGATGAAATAACCATGTATAATAGATGTCATTACCTTGTATAATATTATAGCTTTGGATGAGATCTGTCATAAAATTGTGTTTAATGGATGTCACACAATTGCTAAATAATGTCATTCATTAGTAGAGTAGATTTCACAAAATTGTATAGAAAGTAATAAACATGTCACAATCAAGTGTACTGACCCCTGCCACAATCAAATGTACAGACCCCTGACCCCTGCCACAATCCAATGTACTGACCCCGCCACAATCCAATGTACTGACCCCTGACACAATCAAATGTACTGACCCCTGCCTCCAGTTCCTCACTTTTGTCCATCAAATCCTCCAACCTCTCTCCCCGCTGTAGAACTTTCTCAATGTTTTGAGTCATGACATCTTTGACCCCGTCAATCTGTGCCTGGATGGTTGCCACCGCTTGGTTGGCACCTGCCCCTGGCTGCGAGTATTTTTCCTTGAAGACATAAAAAAATATAATCACCAAGGAAACATCAATTACAGATTTAAAATAAGCCTTTGTTTGGGGGATGCATCATTTTATGAATATCAACAAATCTATTTTATATCCATTTAGTAGCAATGACTTTCAAAGGCTTAGTAAAGATAAGGGAAATATGGGTCAGGAGGTCAGGGGACTTTTTCCCCTTGGTTCCTTGTCAAACAACTTACCCATAAGCGAATGTGTTTATTTCTGTTTGAGTAAACAAACAACTATTGTAAACATTACCATTATTATAGTGCTAATCAATATTCTCATCACTCCATCACTACCAAACTAATTACTACTCAAATCATAAAACAGCACAGAGATATGTCAGACGGACAAATACTTCTAATTGCCCACACCAGCAAATGCTGACAAGGATAAAATACTGAAATATAAAAGCTATGTGAGCAATGGGAAACATGTCAAACGTCACAAATAAATTCATTTAGACTCAAGATGAAGAGCAAATATAACTGTTAATTTAGTTTCTAGAACATCAACATTGCTTGAAATAGTATCAGCTTTTTGTGTGTTTCATTTTTATCTAAGCAGGTTCTGGGTGGCCGAGTGGTCTAAACTGGGTCAATCCCAAGCTAGTGGACTGGAGTTCAAACCCCAGAAGATCTGAAGGGATGGGACTCATTAAACTTGGATTTCAACTTATCTAAGAGCAGGCAAACTCTGAAATCATTCCCGGAGATGGAGTCCCGTGGGCATTATGACATTGACACAATAAAAATTCTGACAACCTCTGCCACACAGAGTGCATAAAGAGTGGGTCATTGCTGGTCATCTACTGCATCCTGGTCTATTTCCTGTCATTTCAGTATTTTAGCAAAAAAAAAGGCAAAGATCAAATAGGCAAGGACCAGAGAGTGAGGATGACGAACTGAGTAACTCTCACTGAGTAACTCTCTCTCAAATTAATCAATACTCTAATCTACAAAAAATTGCCTTGGTCATCTTCTATGTTTGCTTTTGTCTGACCCTTGTCTTGGAGTCTGCATCCCATTTCAAAGTTCTGCAAGTATTTAGAAGTGACTTTAACTTTTTTTTTTTGTAGAAGGACTTCTGGATTTTTTGTACTGCTTTACATTTTTTTATCTATTTAATTTAAAAGCACTAACACTTTTATCGCATTGCATGGCTGTATTTTTGAACTATAGAATTTTTTGTTATAAATTATGACCAGACGGAAATGTTGTAAAAATATTACTAATGCCCATGTAAGATATTCTGGCTTTAATACCAAGTTTCATAATTTCAAAAACAGAATTGTTAAGACTTACCATTTGCTGTGATAAGACAAAGTTAAAATCCCTGTCTAAGTCTCCAGCTGATGCTGTTACTGCCCGACCAGCTAACGCCCCGGACTGAAATCGCTTCTTAATCTGAATCATATTTGAAAGAATTTGTAAAAATAACCTAAATAAAATTTGGATATAAACTATTGTGTTTTATTTTATAAATCAACTTTCTATACATACAAAAGTGCATACACAATATTACCTGTGAATTATTCAAAACTAGTAAGTGCCTTCCAATAGTATATTAATACAAACACTTTTAATTATATTTTCAAAAAGAATAATATTCCCTTATAAAAATATAAACAGAAACTTCTGGAATGGGAGCTTGCAGATATTTAAAACAAACATGCAGTGTTATAGTCAATCAAAAGTATATTTATTTTTTAATGGTTTCACACTCAATATTGTTTGTTTAAGTGGTGTAACATTGGCAATTAGTGAAATTGAAAAACTCATGTTTAACAGTAGAAATTTCTCTAAGCCAGTGGGAAAAATGGAAGACTTTGATCATGATTTAAAATGAGGAAATAAGGAACACACTTTAAATCAAAACTTGATAACTAACACCACAAAATAACTAATGTGTCAGTCCATAATACTTCTTGTGTAGCTATACTATCTCCTATTCCGTGAACAATCTAGAACCCACAAGTTTCTTGTTTTGTGGGGGTTTTTAATCACATTTTCACTAACAGTGTGTTTCTTCTTATTTTACCTTATTTTTTTAATTCTCTGAAGCCAGAATCAGAGGTTTATTCTGATTCAAAGTTGGAATCTAACATATGTTTGAGTCCTCAATTTTGTTTCTGGCTTTGTAAACTTGATTGAACATTACCTCATTCAAAAAACCATAAGGCTGCTGCTTGCTGACACCACTGTTTGTGGCACAAATAAAAAGGATGCCATTCTCTATCAGGCAGTGAAATTCAAAGCTGGAAAAAACAACATGTAAATATTGCAGTAAAGTACAGTTTGTTGGAGAGCTCATCACATTTCCTGGATATTTGCACTTCTTTGATTTTTCTTAAACCTTGAGTAAGTTAATGTTTGGCTTAGAAATTTATTTTAACTGAATTTATTATTCCTACGAAATATTTCATCAATGACAAAATTAATCTTAAATGGTGCAAAAAAACTTACTAAATACAGGTATTTAAATCTAGACTCAAAATAACAATGTGAAACCCTTAGTACTGAAAAACATAGCTTGATATTGATGACTAAAAATACTACTGCATATTTTATTGATAAATGTTTTAAAAGGGCATTTGACAATTATTAATTATAAATTGTTATTTGGTTTCTGATATACCAGAAACAATGAAATTCATACTCTGTAATGCTCAAATTATTTTTAAAAATCAACATTTAAATTCACAGGATCCTATAAAATAAAAATGTATTAAATTTAAGCTAAAAAAGATCATTATGAAAATGAACAAAACTGATACTGAAACTAACTTGTTAGATGTGTAAGTTTTCTTTCCATCATTCTGTGTTGGAATGTTAGGAAGCATAGAATGTAAAGTTTCTGGGAAATTGCCATTCCCTGTCTGATTGGAGCACAGGACATTGGTACCTCTGGCTACACAACTGTATAAAATTGTCATGACTTTTTACCTGAAATAGAATTTAATTTTGATCACAAACTATTAAATAAGCCAATGATTTTATATTTTATTTTCCTACTGTAATTTTTAAAAATATTAATGGTTGAAAAATGCTGAAAAATTATTGCCTTAAAAAATTCTATCATGATATTCATCACTCTACTGAGTGCATTACTCTACTGAGACAGCTCTGTTGCGCGTCGTAAACGACCTTCTGTCGTCTTGTGATGAGGGCCAGGTATCGATTTTGTCTTTACTCGATCTATCGGCAGCTTTCGATACGCTTGATCACGGCATACTGCTCCAGCGTCTGCAAAAAACGTTCGGTCTCACTGATACCGTCCTGAGTTGGTTCCGATCATACCTGACTAATCGGGTCCAGTCAGTTATTTCAAACGGCCTGAATTCGAAGAAATCCAATATCCAATTCGGAGTACCCCAGGGCTCGGTCTTAGGCCCGGTGCTTTTCACGATATACATTCAGCCCCTGGGCGCAGAGATCAATCAGTTTGACATGCATGTGGTCGCAGACGACACTCAAATTCATCAATCCGTGCTCCCCTCTAAGTTCCCTCAGCTGCTCACTATGACACAGAAGACAGTTGAATCAGTTAAGCTTTGGATGACCATAAACAAGCTCAAATTGAACGATGATAAGACTGAGCTGCTCCCCATCGCGACCGCTCAGAAGCAAAAATCTGCAAATAACACGACATCAATTACTCTTTCAGGAGTGCGTATTGAGTTAGCTCAAACAGTGCGGTACCTGGGTGTCTACCGAGACTGAAGACTTACCTTGGAAAGTCACATTAACATGCTATGCAAGGCGATTTTTCTAGAGCTGCGCAGGATTAGCCACATCAGGCCCTTCCTAACAATTGATGCAACAAAGAGGCTGATGTCTGCATTTGTGCTATCACGCATGGACTATTGCAATTCTCTCATGGTGGGTCTTCCAGCTATGCTCCTTGATAAAATTCAGATAGCACAGAATAATGCGGCTCGAATTGTTCTCCGCAAAAGCAAGTTCGACCATGCAAAAACACTTCTGAGAGAGTTGCATTGGCTGCCGGTGCGTGCTCGCATAGAGTACAAAATCGCAACTTTGTGCTACCGCTGTCTACATGGCCTGGCGCCGTCCTATCTGAAAGAGCTGCTGACGCCTTATGTACCCACTAGACAACTCCGCTCATCCGACAGTGGCAAACTCTTGACACCACGTGTTCGCCTTGAGACTTGCGGAAAGCGCACTTTCGCATTTGCTGGTCCAACAATTTGGAACGCCCTTCCACTCGATCTCAGAAACATCCAGACACTGGAGTCCTTTAAAACCGATTTAAAGACACATTTATTTCGCAAACACCTTCTGGGATGATTGTCTACCATATTTTCCATTTAATGCATATTAGCTGTGTTGCTCACGGTTGAAATGGGTTGAAAGACTTTGACATTGTATGCTTGTAACTAGTTTTTGTAGTATTGCGTTTGTTTTAAATGTGGTAAATTATAGATTTGTTTTTTGTTGACTTTGTACCGCGCTTCGAGCCTTTGGGGATGAAGCGTGATTTTTAAATGAACTTTATTATTATTTTTTATTATGATGAAAAGTTTGATTAAATGTCAATTAGTCAACTCTGGATGTAAGACTAAAGCTTTTTTTTTTAATTCAAAAGGATTTTAAAGAATAGGCAGTTGGTTAGTTCACTTTTTAACAATAGACATTCTAAAAATCTAAGACTAAATTTCCGTTAGACCAATTTCCATTCTACAAAATTTCTGTTCGACCAAACTTCCGTCTATCAATCAGTCAACCAAATGTCCTTTAAACAAATTTCTGGATATGGGTTAAAAGATCATTTTTTGAAAGCTATGGTGTAAGGATTGGTAAACAGAGAAATGGCTGGTAAGATATACCGGAACACACCACACCCACAAAAAGGGATCAGTGGTGGGTTTTATAACAAGGCCACCAGAGCCTCATAACCTAAAAGAGATCAGAACACTGTCTGACTCAAAGCTACTTAAACAGACTGAATTCTCTTCTGCATCCAAGTTGCCACCACTGTGGGTAGGCCCCAGAGACGCCAGAGACAGTTGTGCCCTTGCTAGCAGAGCATCAGATACTGAGAAGTGGTGGAGTTAGTCTGATTTATAGTGACACCAAAAAGATGTGGCATGCCTGTAATGTGCTTGCTAAGGCCATCAAAGAGCTTAACCTTAAGCTGCTCTAAAAAGAGAATGATCATTTTGAACAAAATAAATGGAAATTTGTTTTGATTACTTTGTGTATATTGTTTAAAGTCTTTCTCTTGAGTTTTTGTTGGTCAGTACCAAGGCGTTAAGTGATTCATTCATTCATTTTGAGATCAGAATAACTGTGAGGCGTGTAGGTGTAGGTTCTTGAGTGTATGTTGTTGTCAGAATTTTGAAAAGAGACTGAGCTTTTTGTTTGAGTGGAGTGCTCTGTGTTTTACCAAGAACATTAACATTGATAAATCATAAGAAGTTAGAAGTTGATAATTAATGTTATTGTGATACTATTACTATTTAATTATGTGACTGTTATTGGTTAGCTGTAGTGGATAAAAAACAAGACATGAGGAAGCAAATTATAAATAAATAATTTAATTTAAATTGATTTTGAAGAAAATATCAAAGTAGAAAAACACTGCTGCGTCAAATATAAACTCAAAGTATAGTTATAGATTCTAGTATTATTGTAATAACGTAGCCACGGCATTTAGAGTTAATAATATTATTATTAATTCTGAATGCTGTGGCCGTGGCTACGTTATTACATTAAATTAATTGTGATAGTTATAAGAATGGCTGAAAGGGGATTATCGGATTCAGACTCAATCAATGTGAGACATGGGCCAGGGGCTGAATCATTCACCATTCAGACCATTGATCTAAAAATAAATTGTATTACTGCATGACATTTTTTTTTTTTTTAAAATTTAAAGTTGTCACTGTGATTGTCAGTCAGTGTCAATTAGTCAATTGACTGAATAATCTGCTGAATTGGACTAAAAACTAAATCTAAAAATACTTGGTCTAAATTACCTACTTAATCCGGCTACTATGTTAACTTATCTACAATATATCTCACCTTTTTGTATATTACAACTCATAAAATAAAGATTGTTTATTATTATGACTGCAATATTTTTTAGTTCTATTTAATGCAAACGATCCACTTATCAATCGTAAACAAAGGTGGTATTTACACCTTCCTGAAAATAAAGGGGGCGTGAGCGAGACTAATAATCAGATTGACTTCCCTTGATATACTTGAATCTTTTGTGGAAGAAGTAGATTTTCTGATGCAGTTGCCTAACTCCTCGTTTGGTGTCGGTCAAATTTTCAAAAATAAAGTTGGATCTTATGTAGCGACTTTTTGAATTAAATCATTTGAGATCAAAGTATGAATTACCACTATTTATTATCAAGTAATTAATACTAGAGCTTCGTAGTCTTAAATGTCTACTGTTCTTTTGCCTCCAACTCCTAACAATTACACTTGTTACTTCACTGTATGACTGTGACACTTTGAGTTTGAGGCAAATGAACAGGGGGTAAATTGGCAAATGCGAAGAGACGGCTCCGCGGTTTTTTTTTTTTTTTTTTTTTTTTTTTTTTTTGGCCATCTTGGTTGCCGTGACCCGTGATGGAGCCGTGGAAAATTAAAAGAAGTCATAATGTTTGCTAAAATTAGGAATAAATAAAACGTTAAAGTTAAATATTATTAACCCCTTCATTATTACCGCTGGGTTTTGGGGGGACATCGATTTTTGCTGACTCATCAATAAAAAATTGAAAATTTTTTATTTAAAAAAAAAAAGATGAAATTTTCGGTATATTTCATTCTCTATCCGATTCGCTTTTTAACTTCTCTATAGATTAACGAATAAGGAAATATATAGCATTGAAATGTGACGTCCTTGGTATTTCAGAAAAGTTCTTTCACTTTTTGTTATGACAACAATGTGACGTCCTTGGTATTTGAAAGTGGGTGACTGTGACGTTGCGTCGATGTCATCGGTAAGGAAGTGGTTAATGAAAAAATATCCTAACCTGAACCCTAAATCTATCCCTAACCTGGGTTTTGACCCTATTATTTCTATTGGAATCTGGGTTGTGACCCTATAGGAACCAAGGTTTTGACCTTTTCGGAACCAAGGTTTTGACCCTATCGAGAACCAGGGTTTTGACCCTATCGGAACCAGGGTTTAGACCCTATCCCTAACCTGGATATTAACCCTTACCTGAACTCTAAATCTATCCCTAAAACTGCAGCCGCAAGTAAAAACACATGTAAATTACATACTGCGGCAAGAGAACTATGAAATGAACAAAAGCAATAAAAAATGGCCAAAAATGGTAATCTTGCAGTTCAGGTGCATATATTATTTCTGATAGAATTTCATATTATCGCATGTCATGTAAACTTACTAAGTACTTACATGTATTCTTTATTAAATTAAATCCAGGGCAGTAATAGTTAATTAATACTAAACTTTACAGCGCTTATTTTCGTTTTATTTTATTTCTAAAACTAAAGCGTCTTTGAACATCCCCCAACCTTCCATAGCTCCATTTGTTTTGTATTTTTTCACCCTGTTGCCAGATTTCTGATCACCTATAAGTTGGTATGCTAAACGAAATTTTCAAACTGTAGGCAAGTTCACAAGAAGAATGAAATAGGGGGAGGGGGCATTGAACTTAATTAGATGTTCCGTTATTTTATAGCGACCCAAAATTCTTTTTTTTTCACACCAAAAACATGGAGAATATGTGGATGCGAGCGAAACGCAAACTTCGCCATCAATTTAGAACATCACGTGAATTGTTCCTGTCGTATCTACACGAATTTGTGTTCAGAAACAAGTTCCGCGATCAGGATATGTTTGTAACATTCTTAATGACCATCACGGATAATTATCCAGTTTGAAAATATGATACCTGTTTTTTTTAATTCAAATTCTCCAATATGTCTGATATAATAACTGTTTTATTACATTTTTCAATATTTCTGATTTAATAAATGTTTTATTGAAATGGAAAATTGCAATCTAACATGTAGGGTGAAAAATAAAAACAAGAAAACGGAGAGATCATTTACGCTACCGGCTATGTTACTATGTACCAATGGGGGCTGTAAAAAATCAATAAAAAGAAAAGTTAGTGCTGTACAATTTAGTGTTAGTGTTAAATAATACTTTCTGGACTAAATTTTATAAAGAATATGCGTAAGTTTACTCGCGATAATGCAAAATTTGATCAGAAATAATTTACCCACCTGAATTGCAAGCTTACTAATGAACAGTAATACACTGACTGTGTGTGAGTGACTGACCACTAACATTACTTCATTACTAATTATTATTCAGTACTGTACTACTAACATTAAAACAGTTGTTATTACAAATATTAGTCTATACTAACAGTTTTTTAGAACAGTACGTCAGTACAGTGAGTAAGGCCCTAAAATATGACTCTCATAACAGCCAATTCAGCTGGAATACCCCTTTCTGCATATAATTGCTAGCAAAATCATCAATAAAAATGCAGATGATTTAATGTATATATGGTAATGGGAAATTACTCAATATAAAAGAGTTTTCGTCCACCTTTTAATCTGCATGTTAACATGCTTTATGAGGGCTTTATCCGGATTCGGGAGTTTTTATTTTCTCTCACTCCGAATTCACAGGTTCAGTTTATTCAAATACAGATTCTGGGTTTTTAAAAAAATATCAACGTGTAAGAATGCACGAAGGCCTATTCAGTGAGAGCGGGTTCCATATAAAAAGAACAGGCACTGAGACCTCTCGCTTTTGTTAGCAAGCCTCTCGCTTTCATTTGTAATCATTGCACAAGAAATTATTTCTATAGTGTATGAATATTATGAGTTTGTTAAGTTTCAGGGTTTGAAAAATTTGTAAATGAAGTTTCAGTTTCAGGTTTAAAGAAATTTTTAAAAAGGGATTTCAGGGTTCACAGCTTTCAATTAGTGGGACCCCTGTTTCTTGCTTTGCCCCTTGTGTTTTGTGTGAAAAGTTTTTAGGTACGAGTAGTGAATGAAAAAAATGCACCAAAATTACAATTATCAATGTAAATGTAAGTACCTATAACTTGACATATTATGGAAGAATATTGCGTCTAGTATCTCATAAACTTGATTTTATTATACCAGTACTTTGAACAATTTTTGGAGCATTGTGTTGGGTTTAATTTAGAAGTTGAGTACCGGTAGTATAATTTTACTCACTCTTTAAAGGTCAAGGTCAGTATCAACATACCGGTTGATGATATAAAAAAAATTATTTTCATTCCATAAGATACCTTGTCCAATGTACTTACATAAAATGTATACTTGTAAGGGCCTCTGGATTCATTTAGGGAGGGATTTTGTCATTTCTGACAAGCAAATGAAAATGCTAAAAATGGCTTGACACTACCCACTACAGAAAAATGCACTTGACAGTTTTAGAGTTAAAATATCAAAGTAAAATATTGCTCAGACTCCAAGTTATTTTGTGCACATTTGTTACCCCGACCTATTCCAGGAAGCGGCTCCTTAAAATTAAATATTATATTTCATATCATAGCAGATTTAATTTATTAAAAGGCTCCAGCCTAAATAAATGATTGTCGATTCCTTTTTATCACTAGTCTAAGTATAGATATGTAGGTTTACTGAACATTTTCAGGACTAGTAAACTTGGATGATTTCCTAACATTTTTGGGAATAAAGATTTTTTTTTTTTTGCATAAGTTAATATTATAAGAATTGAAAAGGGTACTTTACATGTGAATTTTTAAAAACAACGTAAGGTAAATAAGTTTAGTATCGACAGTTTGTGCATATAAATTTAGTTATTTGATAAAAAAAAGGCACAATAGATTGCTGGAATTTTTTAAAAACAAGGAAAAAATAACTTTTGACATTCTGATAAAAATAAAATGTGATCTGTTTTTCATCAGGCTCCAGATGCCACAAGATATTGTTATTATCAGAGAGATCTATGAGCATGAATACTCAACAGAGGAATTTGAAGTGGAACTGGACAGAGCTCTGGAAACAAAAGCCCAGACAATAATTGTCGAACCTGCCAGGCTTGGCGATGACACAGCACGGTGGATTGCCTGTGGCAATTGTCTACACAAAACTGCCGTGTTATCTGGGTTTGGATGTCTAGTCAGTGGACTTGTGTGGCCCAACAGAGGCATCATATTTTTACCCATGGGATTTGTTAGTGTGGTTTGTGCTGGAGTGTATGCGGTGTCTTGGCAGTTTGACCCATGTTGCAAATATCAAGTTGAATATGACCTCATGAAAGTTCCTAAATTACCGGTTCACACATTGACAACGACAACGCCTGTGGTATTAGTTCGCAAAGACGATTCAAGAAGAAAAGTTCTACAAAATATTTTAGCTATAGGTGCTGGTTCATTTTGTTTTTATAAGATTTACAAATGGTATTTGTAATTCCTAGATTAGATTATTTTTAAGCTTAACCAAAGTATTTTAGATTTTTATAATTAACCCATTTTATGAAATCAGGGCAAAGAAAATTTGAATATTTCAATCCATGTAGTTGAGTATTGTCCTTTTGGTTACATAGTAGAGTACTGTAGAAATTATTTTTTTTAATTAAGTAAAAAAAATAATTTTTCATTATTAGTATTAGTTCTCTAAAACTACAACAATAAAATCATTAACAGCCAAGACTCACGTATTTTAAAAGCCATAGTTTTACTGCTACCATGATCATTCTGTGTGGTCTTTTGTTCCGTTGATCCAAGTCTTAGTGTAGGTAATAATTATGCAAAGATGAGCAGTATTGGTGCTGAGATTTATTTGAACAAATTATAAAAATAATTATAGTTAAATTTAATTTTGCAAACATTTAAAAAAATTATATATTGTAATTTATAAGGCATTAAATGTTTTTGTTTAATTTGAAAAAGGCTTGTCTTTACTTTACTTTTTTTAAGCTAATTTTGATTTATCATATTATAATGTAAGCATGAAATTTTAACTTTTAAGCCTGCATTAAAACAATTTAATATAACATTTATTATAGTAGTCACTCAAATGGATCTTTTAATAATATTTGAAGGAAGGAAGTAAGGAAGCATTAAAAATTTGGAAACATTCAATTTTCAGAGCACAGTTGCCCAGCATAGAATCCTTAAGACTTGGGAAATATGTTTATTTTTAAATATGCATTACTGGTATTGTATTATAGTATAGCAATAATAATTACAATATTTTACTTAAGCCTTAAGAGTTTATTTAACTTTATAACTAACAGTAAGTAACAGTACGTTACTTGCCCCACACGACAAGACCGAACTCTAGACATATTATGGTAACATAGAAAGGCCTTCAAATCTCATGGTTGATTTCCACTAGGAGAACTTGACCACGCAATGGTGCGCCTAATGCCATGCTACAAACCAGTTTTAAAAACTAAAACTATTGAACTGGTCGGATGAGGGGACAGAAAAACTTCATTGCTGCATGGAAAGTACAGATTGGGATAGATTTATATTATAATTTATAAACACTTGCCCTGACATTGATGAGCTAACAAACACTGTCAATTCTTATATTAAGTTCTGTGTATATGAAATCATTCCCCCCCAAAAAAAGAAAGTACTCAACAACAAACCTTCAATAAGCAGAGAAATATAGGAGGCCATGCCATACTCCACAAGAAAACCATGTTTAAGATTAGCTATCAAGAATTCACTAAAGCTAAAAAATTATTGAAGGAAAAAATATATCAGGGTATAAAACAATACCCGGTACAAACAAATAATTGAAAACGTATTCCCTATTAACAACTCGAAGGCTTATTTGGCTGGTCTAAGACAAATAATAGGATATATTACATTATTACTAAGCGTGAACGCTTGTGTGTTGAATATGTGAAGAATTTTGTAAATGACTTAAATAGCTTTTATTGTTGTTTTGAGTCTTGATTTCAGAAGTGTACACATTGAAATGATGAATTCATTTAAATTTAAAGATAGCAGTGGCAGTATTACACAGGATGATACTTTTTTGTTCACCGAACAATACGTGATGTCGTTATTTAAACAAATGATTGCAGCCAAATCTCCGGGCCAGGCAAATTAAGTGGTTGGCTTTTTAAACTATGCTCAGACCAGCTTTCCTACATCGTTTGTTACATATTTAATCAATCACACTATACCATAGGTTTCAGAAATTATACCAATTCCAAAGAAAAATAAGGTACCGGGTATCTTGCATTAACGACTTAAATCCTGTCACACTTACTTCTTCTATTGTATTTAAATGTTTTAAGAAACTTATTCTCAGACAATTTTGATCGAACTACAGCAAAAAATTTACCCTCACCAATTAGCTTATAAATCTGCCAGAAGCACAGAGGATGCTATCTTAAAATCTTATTACTGTTGGAGGGAATTTACCATCACCTAGACAGTCCTAAAAAATATGCTAAGAGTGCTTTTTTTAGACTTCTCATCAGCATTTAACACTATCCAACTACACCTTAAAATTAAAAAGCTTTCCTTGTTAGGTGTAAATTCAAATATTAAAGCTTGGATACTAAACTTTTTAACAAATCACCCATAATATGTCAAGGTGAATGACCAATTATCTCTAAGTTACTCTAACCAGAGAAAAGCAGCGAGGCGCCACAAGGTTGCTTTTTCTCCCCTGTTCTGCATACAATATATACTGATGATATTCAGAGCCTAAGGAACACCGTTCCAATAATAAAATTTGCTGATGATACCATCCTCGTTGGCTTAATATCTGAGGGAGAAGGCTTATACCCCAACTTAGTTACAGGCTTTATCAATTGGGGCAACGAAAATTTTCTCCAGCTGAATGTACCGTATCAAAAACGAAATGGTTGTCGATTTCTGAAGGAGGAAAAACACCACATTACAAATCTCAACATAAAAAATGAAAGTGCAGAGAAAGTAGAGACATATAATTACCCAGGTGTCAACATTAATAATAAGAAGCTAACATGGCATGAGCACTGCCAAATGCTGTATAAAAAATTCAACCAAAGACTTTTCTTCTATCTTGAAAAACTTGCCTTAATAAGGTATTTAAAAAAAAACTAAAAATGATATTGATATGCAGTACAGTTGTAATAATTGTTCCCACTCAAAGCAAATATGACTTCAGACATATTTACAAGCATGAACTGTGAATGGTATTCTGAAATACATGCCATTCTCTATTCCATTAATTTATTACAATCTCCTCTTTTCCAATTGCTTTTTGAGTCTTTAATGTAATACATTGTCTTTTTTTTTTTAATGCATTTTACATTTCAGCACATAAATAAAACAATTTGAACACAAGACATTTATAATAAATTATTTCAAACAGCCATTCAGTGAGTTCTCTTAGCAAAATCGGGGACTTATTAGTTCTCATTCAGATGTGTGACTTCAGAGGAGGCACGCCGGTAAATTCGTACAGATTGGGGAACAAAAGAATTTTTATATCTGTCAGTCCTCGCCCTGATGGAAAGAATTCGTCCCGAACGGCCCGATCCTAAGTATTTGTGATGAAGAGGGTGGGATGTATCACCCAAAATGTGTTTAGTTTTACAAAAACATCTTTCTTCAAATAGTTCTTCAAGTGAAGGATGTTTAGTTTTTGCTATGTTCCTAGCTTTCTTGATTAGTCGGTTTATGCGGTGTTTAATATCAGACGTTGAATTCCCACACTAGCAGGTAATACTGAAATTAAGCAGGCTTCCAATAGTTGCACTGTAGAATAAGTTAACGACTTGCTTGTTTATGCCGAAATTGTACAGTTTTTTGAGGTAGAACAGTCTTTGGTTGAATTTCTTATATAGCATTTGGCCGTGATCATGCCATGTTAGCTTATTATTAATGGTGACACCTAAGTACTTGTACGCCTCCACTTTCCCCACATTTTTGATTTTTTATGTTGAGATCTCTAATCAGGTGTTTCCCCCTCCTGAAATCAACAACCATTTCTTTTGTTTTTGAGACATTCAACTGGAGAAAATTTTCATCGCACCAATTGATAAAGCTTGTTACTATGTTACGGTATAGGCCTTCTCCTTCAGATATTAAGCCAACAATCGTGGTATCATCAGCAAATTTTAAGATTGGAACGGTGTTGCTTGAGCTTTGAATATCATTTTTATATATTGTATACGGTACAGGAGAGAGAATGCAGCCTATATAGAGGAATAATTGAGAAAATTTGAAAACGTATCAGAAGATATTGTAACTGCTACTGATACCGGGGTAATAATAAATAATTTTTAAAATAATTAAAATAAATTTTTCATACAACTTATTCTTGTAATTGTAATAGAAATTACATTTCAGCAATTTTTATACACAGCACATCAAGTGTGTAACTGTTAGTTCGTCCATCGAAAATTGATCATAACCATTTTAAACACAGAATCGGTGTTGGGGCTGAATCTGTCTGTTAATGGCTGATTCTGGCACCAAATGCTCTTGTGCAGAAGATGGATTGGAGAACTCCAGTACAGAGTACTAGGGGCTTTTCTGGCTTGTAGTTTGTGCTCTGCAGCAGCTGTTCATGTTGCATTGAGCCTTTTTTTTTAGGGAGGAGCACGTCTTTAAAAAGTTTGCCATGCTCGAGATCACCTGAAAATATTCTTAGCGGCAAGCAACTGTCTGAAATTCTCGCAAAATGTCCCGTCTGGGTCTGCATTAATAAGGTGTATATTCTGGGGAGACCTGCTTGTGAGAATACCTTGGTGTCTGGGACCTTGTGCTCCCAATTGATTTTGAGAGTTTTTGGATACCGAGTGAATAAATATAATTCCCATTCCTTAGTAGCTAGGCTTAGTGGCAGCATTGAAAAACTTGGGACCTTATTGATATTCCTCCCTAATTAACATTCATTTAAAAGCTATTAATTACATAAAAATAAGCCTCAATCCAATGAATTTTTTTTTTTTCACATTTACTGAGCACAGGGTACTCTGACGCATATGCTTTTCATTACAAATGAAATAAAAAAGTAAGTTATTTTTATGTCAGTATTTTTATCAACAAATATGTCTGGTCTTCTAACTTGCACATAAATTTTATATGGTTTAGTATGTTATTAAGAAATATTGTGAGCAAACTGTAACAAAGTAAAAAAAAAACAAAAAAAAACACATTATTTAAAATACCCGGTAATCAACAAAAAAAGATTGAATTATCTGTACCGGTATTTAATGTTTTTTTAATTTGAGAGACAAATGTTAGGTTATACCCCGAAGAAATTTTAAAAGCAGCTGTCACTCGAGTTAAAGGTATGATTAGACAGGATTCTTTTAAAGCTACTCATTCTGACACTAGGGATAGGTCTAAATTTATTTTAACTTTTCATCCCCATAACCTAAAAGCTTGTTTTCTGGTTCTGAAAAACCGCTCAATTCTGATGGAAGACCCTGTCACAAATGAGATTTTCAGAAAACCCCCTCTTTTCGCTTTCTGGAGGGACATGAGCCTTAGGGACATGCTATTAAAGCACATAAAGGCAAAAAAGGTTGCAACCGTAGCCATTGTAACTCATGTCCCTACGTGATCAAAACTGATAAGATCACTTTCCCTCTGGAAGTATTCAGAAAAAAAGATGGCTTTACCTGCACAAGTCGCAATTTGATTTACACCATCATTTGCAAAAAGTGCGGTAAATTATACATAGGAGAGACAGGTCGTCGCCTTGGGGACCGGTTCAGAGAACACCTCACACCTCTATAACATAACTAAACAAGCTCTCTGTCCGGTCTCCAAACATTTCAATAGCCCTAACCATGATGGTATCTCAGACATCGCAGTTACTGGTATTCTCTATACTCGTAACACTACAGATAGAATATATATGGAGAACAAATTAATAACAAGATTCGGTACGTTGTCTTATATGGAATGAACCAAATCCACAATTTTACCTAGCTGCCATGTCTTTTTCCTGTTTGGTTTTTACAATTATGTTCAAATCACTTCCTTTCTACTCCTCTTTACTTTGTTTTTGTCTAGTTTGTTAGCGCCCTCTCCTATTTTTTTTCTTTTTTAGGTAGGATATGTATATTTATATTATGTAAATTTAATTTATACTTATTTAAATGTGTTTTTTTGTTTGTACTGATGAAGGCATGTGCCGAAATGTTTACTTGTGTATAATTATTATTAAAAAGTAACTTATATTGTTATATTGACATAATTTGTTTGTGTTTTATTAATCTGTATTTAAAAGCTTGAAATGAGACTGAGACACATAGAAACAAATTTATATAAAATTTATTCTTGCTATTATTAGTATTAATTGAAGCATGTCATTTAAAATTTGCCCAAAAATATGGTGTGCGACTCCCTGGTATTAAAAAAGTCCAACAAATTGATACATTTGAATTTTAAATGGTTTTATTAGATTCAGCTTGTTCCCTCTGTGCCCTATGTGCCATTATTTTAAAATAAAGCCAAGGTGCAAGGGCTCTTAAAGAAATGATAAATTTAACATAGAATGGTGCTATGGTTAATTCTTTGGTTTTGTGTTGTACACAGTCTAGTATTTGATAAGCAACATATTCTGGTTGTAGCCCTGTCTCTGTCGTCTTGTCCATCTCTGTTAGGAAAAATATTTTTAACATTTGATAAATTTTCTTTGATCTTTTTTGCTATGCAACCTTACATTTATAAGAATAAGGTGAGCTGAATGCATTTCAAGGAAGCATAGTCTGCATAGTGCCATTAGATTTTCTAAATAATCTCTCTCACCAATTCCGTAATTTATCATCACTATTTTACTAGGGCTGACAGTGACATATTTGATTTTTTTCCCTCCTCCCTCCCTGCCCCCCAGTTCCCCCCCCCCCCCGTATTAGTTGCATCACTTCCAACTTCCCCATACCATGTTCTTACTCCCTCCATTTGCCAATCCCCTCCCCCCTTTTTCACACCAATTCTATTCTTTATCGTCAGTCCTCTTCCCAACCCTAGAACAATGTACTGGTATTATTAATATTACCAAACATCTCACCTTTTATTTACCAGTTCTGCCAGTGCTAAAGAATTATTTTTTAAGCCCTACTTTATAGTTGAAGAAATTTTTCAAAGATAACTTACTGCCATAAGTTGTTCCAGAACCTGTGAGTGCATTGAGAGACAAATTGGTGCTGATGTAATGTGGACTAACAACACAGACATTGATATCATGTCCAGACAGCTCTGCTCTCAGACTATCAAAGTAAGCTTGTAGAGCATGCTTAGATGCTGCATCTGTTTAAAATTAATTTTAAAAATGATTAACAATTTATGTTCAGTATTTATGAGCAATCATTACATTACAAGTTACACAAAGAGTAGGTCATGCATTGTTTATGAGATCTGTTTTATAAAGAATTCTGTGATAGAGAAAAACTCTAACTCTAAGAGGCGACAAAGGTTTCTGCAAGGACCTAATGATAAAAAAACAAGAGTGAAACATTTGAGGAATGTTAAATTATATAAGTATAGTATAATGCTATGTTACCATTAGCAAATTAATTAACATATAAAGTGTTCAGTAATAATTAGTAAAAGAAGCAATAAATGTAAATAATTATTTAAATATATTAATAGTAAACCACAAGGATTTTTTTTACTTTAGTACGTATATGAAACATTTCCTTAAATAAAGATAGACCTACAAGCAGATCTATGTGGTATTGCTATTCTTCCTTGAATACTGCTGATAGTTACTATTTGGCCACCCCCTTGTCGAATCATTTGAGGGAGAACAGCTGTTGAAAATTTTAAAGAAGAATAATTTTTAAGTTCATGAATCAACTGAAGTACCGTTATAACAAAATCAAATTGTGTATTTATTTGCTTACAATTTAAGCAAATGTAGGTAAGTAAAATGTTTAACTGACTAATTAAAATAAAAAATGCTTTATCCTCTTTCACTCTCATTATTATAGCATCAAGTTCAAGTCATTTCTAAATCAAATGAGATTTGAATGATGTGAATAAATTAGCATTACTGACTGATTAAAACATTTATTTCAAACAAATATAAAGTACAAAATAAAATCTAAACAAACTAATCCCTGTGATGATGACATAAATAATGGGTTCCGAAAATTGGCATAATGATTGAAGCAGTAAATAAATAGGAAATCTTCTCTTACATGTAAGAAAGCATCTTATAATTATGAGTTCCTGACAAAAAGATAATATGAAAATTCAAACTTACTGATTACCTTTAGTAATTTCAATGTGGCCAAAGTAATTAACAGTCATTAGTTTCTTGTCCACATCTAGTGTGGTCTCGGAAGCTTGTCCACGATAACTCATACCCGCATTGTTTATGAGTATATCTATATGACCAAATGCAGCAATGGCCTGGTTGACTTTACTAGGAATGCTTGAAAGATTCTCTAGGTCAATACTCACTATAGCTGGATTATGACATCCAGCTCTCTGTAAATGATACTAAATATTAAGACTTGAACATTAACTCTAATTTTAATTTATTTAAATAAAAACAATCTCTTTTCCTCTACTAATAAAACTATAAATACTTAACGCTTAAAGACAAATTAAATCAAATCTAGTGGTAATTGCGATCAAAATCTGTTAGTTTAAAATTTATTTCTTCATGCGATTAAAATAAGCTTGTTTGATATATTAACCTGTTTTTTCATTAGACGATCTTTCAAATCCATAAGCTTTTTTACTTGCCTGCCAGATAGAATTATTTTACAACCAGCATCATAAAACACTTCTGCACATGCTGTAAATGTTAAAATATATAAAATATTTTAAATTTCAATATATTCCTTTGAATTCTGTTAAAAATTGAAATAAAAGAAAAAAATAATGTTGCTGCATGTTGTATTGCATGATTTTAGAGCCAAAAAATTATCACACTTGTGAAAGTTCAGTACCATACAATTCTAAGCAGTGATCAGTAGAAGAATCTATAAGAGATACCAACAGTATTGTTCTTCAGCAGCAGCTAGTGGAACCCACTATAAATTTGAAAAGAACTGCCATTGTACGAAACTTATAAGAGTTTTTTTTAAAAAGAATTATTACCTATAACTTCACAGAAAGTTTGTCTTTTAATCATGATTTTTGTCAATGTCAAGAAAATTCAAGAAAAGGTTATATAAAATAAATCTCAAAAAATACTTTGAATTCAGTTTTTAATTAAATTAAATTTTATTAACATTTTGAGAACAGTTCAAGCCTATATTTATTTTCAGCAATATTTTTTTTAAATTCTGTAAACACAAAACAATGAACAAACCTTCTCCTAAACCAGAAGAAGCTCCTGTTATGAAAACAACTTTGTCTTTTACTTGTTCCTTCTTCTTTCTACTGATCAAGTAAACAAAAAAGGATAAGATACCTAAAGGGAGGCCAATCGTTGCCCAAAGTGAGTTCACTCTAAAGTCTGACATCCTGTTCCTGTAAAGTATAAAGCAGATAATTTAATAGAAAACTGTGACCTCACATGAATTTTTAAAAATGTGTTGTTGGTTTATACCGCAAACAGTTGGCCAGCCCACTGGTCCCCATTAAATATGCAGCGTTGCTCTGGGTGTCATGTTGCCCTCGAGCAGAGCCATGAAAGTATGGCAAGAGAGCAATCACAGCAGGCACTAAAATATTCTTTAGATAGAATCTTAATAGTGAATTAAAATACTTCAGAAAGACGAGGGGGGCCAAAAATTGTCTTTTTTCCAGATCCACCTCAGAGGCACTTTTTCTATATATTAAGTGGCACCATTTTCCAGCTTTGCCACAGTGCAGCATTTCCTCCGCAGCGGACTAACAAAAGTAAAAACAGAATAAAATAAAAATAGCACTTAACAGAAAAGTAGTATCAAAAAGGGTAGCTAAAAACCTAAATTTGGCATTGAAAAATTATATAAACCACTGAACTAGCACATTGAAGATACAGTTGACGAATATTACTGTAATACTGCTACTACTGAGCACTATTGAAGCCATATCTAGTTAGTTCATTTGTGAAAAGAAATTGCAACATTACAACGACCATTCCTATACAACATTGCATGATATTTGTTACAGCAATGAAGATATAAATATGCTATTTTTGGACTTTCAAATGGAGCTGAAACTATTTACTGCTCTGGCTTTGGAAAGAAATAATATAAGAAAAATGGAAATAAGACAAATTGAAATAAGACAAGCAAATCGTCGCTGCCAAAAATATGGACAAGCCAGACGACGAGATGAAAGTACGGACAAATACGGATGCAAAAATTAGTACAGACAAGGGGGGTCGAAAATACAAACTGATGAAACTGTCCATACTAAATACGGACATTTGGTAACCATAGATAAGTAATAAGAGCATCTATATAGACAGTACATTGTATGAGTTGAGTAAAAGTAAAGTCTTAAGTTATAGTGTTATTAAGTATTAATTGTATAACATAGTATAGTCTTCAATGCCTTCAAAGAAGGCTTGTACTTTATCTCACTTAATGAACTTAATCTGATCTTAACTGGTGACTTCTTCTTCTTCTATATCTTAAGGGCCCACGATCAATTTATTGATCATTTTGGCTCCTATATTAATTATTAATGTTAACTTAAATCTTAACAATAGCTATACTATAACAGTTAACAGTCTAGTTAGTAAATTAGTAAATCAATCAGGCTCAGAGTGCGTAAAATGGCCGGTTTGATAATTTAATATTTTAATGAAATTTAAAGACCAGCATTGAATGAAATTCAAATTGTCTTGACTTAGACTCTTAGACTACTTGACTTACTAGTTATGAATTTTATAATTAATATAATATTAAACAGTTAATTAATATTGACCTATTGAATTGAAGTTATTGTGAAGTCTGAGACTGATGGACGTATTTGTATTCGTATTGTACTTTGTACCTTATTAAACTTAATTATTTATTTATATTTATTTATTTATGGTAATGTCACACTTGAGCGTCGGTTATCAAACAAATCGTGTTGTTCTGATGTGCTATTTAAACGATTATTCTTTTATTGATAAGATAAAATTATTTTAATAAACAAAAGAATGGAAATGTTTTTAATGTTTTATTTCCATAGTGATTTAAGCACATACATTTTAAAAAAATGTTAAAATAGTGAAATAGTAAAATTTAAAAAATTTAATAATTTTTAAAATATAAAAATCAAAGAAAAAAGTATGTATGAAAATGAAAAGAAAACAGATTTGTTTATTGCTGCGGCTATTCGTACCAGCGTTCAAGAAGTTAGAGTTTGGGTTTATTAAAAAATATTTAAAAATTATTGTATGGGTGTAAGACAAAATTTGGTATCAAATGAAAGATAATTGAATGGACAATATGTTTGTAAACTTACTTCTTAAGTTTAACTAAAATAAACTACCATAAATGAAATGACATCCGAATAGCATTTAGTCAAATTGAAACCGGAAAAACATCGCCTCTATTCGGACCCGGGTCCCTTAGCTATTCGGACAAGGGAACAGTGCTTATTCAGCGTTCAAATAAAATCCAGGCGATCCCTCTATTTTGGAAATTATGTTTATTAAATACATGTATATTATAAGTAATAGAGAAAAGTAAATTTATTAAAATCGTGATTTGGTGTCATCCATTAATTACGTCAACAATTTTTAAGCAATTCCCCCCCTCCCCATTTTTGTCAACTGTCAACAGCTGTCAAACTTTCAATGACCCCTCCCACCCCTATTTAATTATTTCAACATTTTCTACCCCCCCCCCCCCCACACACACACACACACACACAAAAAAGTCATTATATTTTAAATAAATTTATAATACATTTTACTATGTGCTGATCTATTTTAATGACACAAAATTGTAGGAAAAACATTTCATTACATCTTTAGCTTGTTTCAACTAGTTAAAAAGTTTTTACACTTAAATTTACAATCAATTGAAAGGTTGTTAACGACTAAACAATCATTGTTTGTGGTATACCTATGCTTATTGTCAGTAAAGCTGACAATCATAGCATAGTTTCTAGCTGCTATCATCTTCCCAAGGAGTAGCCAGGTTTGCTCTATCGTAGCAATGGGCATTAGGGACATCATTTGGGTAGGGTGGGGGGGAGACATTTGCCCCAACCCCCTAATTTGCAGGTTTTATTTAAATTGATATGTACTGTGCGTCTCCAGAAATAAACAACTTAACAAGCAGACCAAGTTTTGGTTTTGCCCCCACCCACCCCCCCCCTTCCCTGAAAAAAACATGAAATGACGCCCCTATTTAGCATAGTCTATAGTAGTCTATAGGTATACATAAATCAAAATCTTACAATTACAATTAGTTGAGATTTTCTGAATGACCAGAAGAATTCGCCTGTTTGTCAGCTGCCATCTCCCTTTTATATATAAAATAGACCAGTCACGAAAATTCACTTCTTGTATATTTTGTGCCATGATAATATACATGTACATAAATGGTTTTAAACATCACTGCGATTACAGACTAATAAAGCGAAAGAAAAGTGGCTTCAGTCAAAAGTGGGAAAAGAACGTGAGCATTGGCGTCAAGTTTTAGAAGGTTAACGTTAAACCATATTTACGTCATATGATTGGAACTGTTTAGTTTCGTTGAGCTACTTGGCAAATTCGATTTAACAATGAGTGAACATCTCACGTTCACTATTGTGTTGAAAATGTTTAGGACGAAATAATCAATTTGTTAGGAAATGCTGTTGAAGAAAATATTATTAACCGTGCTAAGTCAGCCAAATAGTTCAGCTTTAGTTTAGACTGCACACCAGATATTAGTCACCTGGAGCAGCTGTCATTTGCTATTAGATTTTAAGATGTAGGCCTAGAAGTAGAGGACATGGCAATAAAAGAACATTTTCATAGATATAAGACTGTTATAGAAACTACAGGTCAAGGATTATATGAAAGTATAATTGATTATTCGAAAGAGAGCAAACTAGACCTACACAAATGCATAGGCCAGGGCTACGACAGTGGTTTGAATATAAAGGAGTGGAGGCACGGACTGTGAAGGAAAATTCACGTGACTTTTATATGCCATAACGATGTCATGGTTGGTGTCATTTCAACAAGTTGCTTGGAATCTTAATTTTTTTTTGTTACTGTCCCGTGCATATATGTAGTGGCCTAGCTAAAAATAGGGGGGGGGGGGTGGGTGTGGACCGGATGACACCATCCTATGAGGTGATACCAACTTGAAAAATGGCATATTTACAAAGCACACTCTGCTCGGTCTCACAGAAATAACATAATAACCGATCACGCTCACATAATTTTACCGCACCGGGTGACACCAACCCCAGCTATGTCTCTGCATATGTTTTCTTTTCTGCCGCTCCTAGACGATGGAATGTTTAGAGAGAAAAAAACATGTTATCTGCCTCGCTGTGAAACCTTTATGCAAGACTAAATGGGATTGAAGAATCGAATCTGTCAAAGCCATTAAATATGAAATTATGGGAATTCGACAAGCTCTTTATGAACTTTCAGAAATTATGTCTGCGTCTAATCTTGTAGTGACATGAAGCAGAAGCACTTGCATCACAAATAGAAGAGTGTGTTTTTTTAGTGATGATAAAATGAATATCTGGTATAATAAGTGAGCCTGGGTAAATGTCAGCAAAACTGTGCAGAACACCTCTGTGGAACTATCTACGGCAGTTTCACTCATGAATACTATCACTGATTATTGAATTGATTGATTTTCATGCAAATGGATATGCAAATGTACTAAGAGTCAGCAACAACAAAAACCAATAGTTACCGAATTAGATTTTGAGCAAATTTTTTGTAAATAAAAGGAGGAGCTATTTGAATATGAGTGCACTGACGAGGTTCCAAACGCAGATGACCAGAATTTATTTGTGTGATCAGGTGTTGAATGTAACACTGGACAGAGCTATACAGAGAGACTTGAACAGTTTCCATAACACAATGGTGTTTTTTTTATACTGCCCAAATACACGTTAAGAAAAAAATATTGCATTGTTCATTAAAAAAAAAACTAGGTGATAAACTCATTACCTAACACCTATAGTTATAGGTTTCTGTTCCTTGCACAAATGTTTCGGATAATACTTAAAGGGGCGTCACAGTTAAGCTTGCCATGGGCGCCAGCAACCGTAGGGCCGGCCATGAGCCATGGGCGCCAGCAACCGTAGGGCCGGCCAAGGGCCATGGGCGCCAGCAACCGTAGGGCCGGCCATGAGCCATGGGCGCCAGCAACCGTAGGGCCGGCCATGAGCCATGGGCGCCAGCAACCGTAGGGCCGGCCATGAGCAATGGGCGCCAGCAACCGTAGGGCCGGCCAAGGGCCATGGGCGCCAGCAACCGTAGGGCCGGCCATGAGCCATGGGCGCCAGCAACCGTAGGGCCGGCCATGAGCCATGGGCGCCAGCAACCGCAGGGCCGGCCATGAGCGCCAGCAACCGTAGGGCCGGCCATGAGCGCCAGCAACCGTAGGGCCGCCATGAGCGCCAGCAACCGTAGGGCCGGCCATGAGCCATGGGCGCGAGCAACCGTAGGGCCGGCCATGAGCCATGGGCGCCAGCAACCGTAGGGCCGGCATGAGCCATGGGCACCAGCAACCGTAGGGCCGGCCATGGGCGCCAGCAACCGTAGGGCCGGCCTTGAGCCATGGGCGCCAGCAACCGTAGGGCCGGCCATGAGCCCACTATCAATGACTAGCATTAGACTCATTAGTCATCATTAGAACGACTTGGCTTTATTTGACGTATGATCTAGTATTAAAAGTGGGTGTGATCTTCTTCCTTGTATAAGTTACACGTTAATTAGAGTCAAGAATAGTTGGCAATGTTATGTTCTTTGGTATTTATTATTTTACTCCAGCTGGAAACTTCTATTAAAATGTTATATTCACATAATGCATACTCAGTATAGAGTTAATTACATATAGTTGTTTTTTTTTAAACTTCTTGAAAAATTATGTTTTAGGTTGACAGTAAACTGAACTTTTGTATGGGGGATATTTTACTTCGTTAATTAAAATACAGTAATCTGTATTTAGAATAACTGCAGCTAGCAGAACTAGTTACTAGCCAAATTATAATTAACTAAAGAATTCAGCCCAATTACTGAGTCAATTTAAACCCCAAAAAAATGATATTGACCAAGTTAAAAAAAATGTAAAACATTGACAAAAATAGGACTTAAAACAAGCTGTTTATTTAAAAGATGCTACTCTATCCAGTAAATGATTTAAATATGGTAAATATACTAAAATGAGGGGGCAGCGAAGGGGAGATAGTTCATTTTTTATTCATGCATTCAAAATAAAGTTTTTTAAGAAGACTTTTTTTTTCAGGAGATGAGTGCACTAAAAAGTAGAAAATAATTTTCATAAGATTCATTATACAAAGAAAGTATGTGCAGAAGGGTTGTAAGGCACTCTTATGAAGTTAATGGATTCCAATTACATGTAGAAGTATAAGAAATTAAAACAAAAATTTCCTTCTAATTTTAAAAAAATATTTTCTCCACTTTCTTTGGGTACCGGTAATGAATTTGATGAAATCTTAATTTTTAAATCCACAAAATGTGACAAAGGAAGATTTTTTTTTTTCTAATGTAACAAAGTGACTTAGCTAGGAATAAAACTAAAATGGTGGATGGTCAGAGTCTAATTGCTAAAAATGCCCTTCCCCAAAACCTTGGCCCATCCCATCCACAGGGAAGTTATAACAGCATATGGGGAGGGTGGGTTGGTAAAGAAATGCACTGAGGCCCCCCCCCCCCCCGATTTCTCTCTAACCCATTTAAGTAATGTTAGGAAAATCATTTGGGTCCCAGGTGGGCCTATGCATTATTAACAGTGTTTCTTTCAGAGATTTCAGGGAAGGTGGGGGTAATGAGGTTTTTCATGCCGTCGGAAGCATGGGGGGTGGGGGGATAGGGCAAAAAAGTAATAGTTTTACTGGGAACATTTAGAAAATCTAATGAAGGCAGTGGCAACAATAACCACCTAAAAT